AAAGTGCTTTAAAATGTTGTCCAAATACCAATCCGATAATCTATGAACTATGGAAACAAATTTACCTTATCAAGCATTCTCGCAGGCCTCCCAAAATCACACAACACACAAAACTTTTGACATGCTGCTATTAGGCATTCCTTTGCCTCCTCAGTTGTTAAATCATTTGGAATATGCTGCAATCCCTCCTCCGACAGTTTTGCATTTAGCTCCTTCAACATGTCGATTTTGAAATGCAAATCAGAGCATCGTATCTTTCTGTCATGGCAAACCAAAACCACAACAATTATCAAGTAGTAAGCCTGTATAATTTTACCATCTTCACAAACCTGAATGGAGAAGTAAAATTTATTGTGACTTTTCCCCTTGCCTTGGTGGTTGAATGACACTCAATCATATATGAGCCAGTCAAACTTTTAGCAAGACCACTAGAGATTCGGATGAAGCTTATTAGGGTCTATTAAGTAAATAAAAAGGGGCAGATTACAGTTCCAAAATAGTTGAAGGGAAAGAGATCAATTACCACTCATAAGTTGTGCTATTGTGGTACTAAGGTCAAAATGTGAATTTTCTCACATATTCTTCATGACCTTATAATTGGATCTCTTTCTTTTTAAAGGGACCAATACATATAATCATTTTATACATTGAGGCTTAAGGACCATAAAATGAGCATGAATTTGAGGTGTATTCAATCAGGATTCTGATGGATTTTTTATATTTCGAAAGTCTGTAGGTATTCAATTCAGATTTGAAAAAGTCATTTAAACTCTAGGTGTATTCAATTTAGATTTATACAAATCCTTCTAAATATGATGGTATTAAAAAATTGATAGATTTTTTAAAATTTTTAATAATGTAAATTTTGATGGATTTTCCTGCCTTACTTATAAATACAAATCAATGCTCCAAATCCCACCAACATCCCATGGATTTTGCAGACTCCTCTTCTTCCGACTAATCCACATTTCACTCAACCGGTACTTATCTTCTCCTTCGATCTGTGCAGCGGCAACACCAACACACACAGTGGTGGTCGCCGATGATGATTGAACCGATGGGCAAATCAGAATTTGACGAAGGGCGATTGGGATTGAAGATATTTGAATTGATTTGCAGACGCCGATGACGAAGGGTGATTGGGATGGAAGACGATTGAATCGATCATGGGTGAATCAGTGATGCAGGCTTTCAGATTTCCAGTGCTTATGGAGTCTATGAAGGATAAGTGATGCAGACTTCCATGGTCGATGACGAAGGGCGATTGTGATCACAAAAAAATCTTAGAGTTCAAAAAAATCTTAGAAAATCCCAATCAAATACACCCCTAAGTATCACAAAAGAATTTGCTTTAAAAAAACTTCCTAAATACTCCGTATTTTGTTTGATTCTTCATAGTAATTCTTCAAAGCTTCCTAAATACTCTGTAAAAAATATTCTATACAATATTACCAGTCATATAAATTGAACAAAACTATTAAACAATTACATACTACTAAAGAAAAACAATTAGATATATAATTACCATTAAAAAATTATTAAAAGAATACAATTATCACCAAACAATTATTAATGTACTCCTTCTATTGCATAAAATCCTTATCCTTTCTTTTTTTTCCAATTTCTTAAAACACTTCCACTTTCTATTAAAAAGCCACTTTTACCCGTACTTTTTCATACCCAACCTATTACATCATACTTTTTCACTAATAACCAAACTATCACATTTTACTTTTACCCATGGGACAAAATTGGAAAACCCAACCTATTACATCATACTTTTTCACTAATAACCAAACTATCACATTTTACTTTTACCCATGGGACAAAATTGGAAAGTCAAAATGAGAAGAGTTTAGAGTATTAAAAGATTGAAGTATTAAATTGAATGAATAAAACCAAACAATTATCACCATACACCAATTAAAAAACAATAAATTAAACTACTCGGTATTACGGAGCAAACACTCAAGATTTGAAGTTAAACATTAAAAAAAAACGGTCCAGATTGGTGGCTTGGAGTGACGGTTCAAGAGGAAGAATTACCGCGTACGGGCGGAAGTGATGCAACGAGACACACGATGGCTGAAACCTAATTTCGAAGAGGAGGATCGGCTGGGCAGCCGCCCTCGGGGCACCGGTATGAAGGTCGGAGCTCTCCAGTGGCGGAGCCGGCCCTTATTTCTCATCACCAGGAGGATGATTTGTGTACCTGTAAAAAGAATGACATGTATACTTTCATAGTTTCATACATTTTCCCTAAATTCCATAAAAGGTCCCAGTTATAGGTCATTTTACATATTTAGTCCCTACATATCAAATACGTATTACTAATTTAGTCCCCAATTATTATATTTATTTCTACGAATGGTCCTTTGTTAACATTTTCATTAAAACGTGGATAAAATTATAAATTCACACTCCTTTCTCTCCTCAATTAAGCTTTCTCCTCCCTTGTACTCCTTTCTCAAACCCGTCGCTGAATTTCTAGCTTTGAACCCTAAACCAAAATCATCACTCTTCTCTCAATTGTTTGTGTAACTGGAGGAACGATCATTTAAATTTTGGGTTTAAGAGCTTCAAACACAGCAACGAGTTTGGGAAAGAGTATGAGAAGATGAAGAAAGCTTAATTGAGGAGAGAGAGAAATATGAATATACAATTTTATCCACGTTCTTAACGGAAATGTTAACAAAGGACCATTCGTGGAAATAAATATAATAATTGGGGACTAAATTAGTAATATTTGATATGTAGAGACTAAATATGTAAAACGACCTATAACTGGGGACCTTTTATATAATTTACTCTTATTTTTATGTTAATTGAAAATTAGCAAATGCTTGGGGGTAGTGTTGTGTGGTTTATTATTATTTTTATAATAATTATATGTCAATTATAAATTATAAAAAAAATTGCATAACATATTTTTTTTATATCAAATATACTTATAATTTACTTATGAGTATTGTTCTTTTTATTAATATTAAAATTAATATCAATATTAATAATGTTATTCTAATTTTATTATCCAGGTCGGGGAGTGGTCTTGGACATAAAACTCGAGCTCGACCTTAAAATATTTATGCCGCAATTTATAAGAACCAAGTCCGGCCCATACCCTAAAATGTCAAGCCTAAGTCTGCTATTTTGCGTGCAGGTAGACCTGATCACAGTGCGGGCCGGGCCGGGTTTCGGGCCGGGCCGAGACACTACTTTACGAAAATTTTCTAGGCCCGAGCCCGGCCCGGCCCGTATAACGGGCCTAACAATTGAAGCCCAAGCCCGGCCCGCATGATTACCCGCGGGCTTCGCGCCGGCCCGGCCGACAAAAACTTCTAAATAATTTAAAAATAATTTTTTTTTAAAAAAGTAACAAGTTAATATATTAGATATTTGATATAAAAACTATTATGAGTAAATGAAAGAAAAATTGATATATAAATATTTTTGTTTGATATTGCTACTATGTATGGAGTACAAAATATTATTTATTGGAATGTCATAATGAATGTGTGATACGTTGCAAACAATACGGAGTAGTAAAGATGTATTCATTTTATTATATATACCTATAGTTTTTTTTCTCTACATAGAAGTATGTATGTGTGTTTATAATAATTTGAAATAGGTTTGTTTATTATTATTATTATTATTAATGTTGTTATTGTTATTTTATTATAATTATATTAATAATAAATATTTAATTTATTCGGGCCGGGTCGGCCCGTGGGCTTGAGCATAAACCCGAGCCCGGCCCTAAAATAATCGGGCCGCCATTTATAAGGCCCAAGCTCGGCCCGTACCTTAAAATGTCAAGTCCAAGCCCGCTATTTTGCGGGCGGGCTTTTGCGGGCGGGCCGCATACCTGGGCCCGTGATCGGGTCTAACCGTGCAGGCAAACAGTAATGGTTAATCTCTAAGGCTTCGATCATACGTCTCCCAAGTCCCATTGACCAAACCCGTCCTATTAATAGATTGGTACTCCGTATTAATTTAGGGTCAAATGCTTGTGCAAGTCTAACAATATTCTTCATTAAAAGTCATTGGAAAAAATATTTTTTCAAAGAATTTAATTCCATTGTCTTGTCAAAAGAGAATTAATTTTCATTTGTTTTCAAAGAAAAAATTGTACTCCCTCCGTCCTAAAATGTTATTCTCACTTTTCACACGGTCAAACTTTAATCACTTTATTTATTTATTTTCATTGGACATTTGATAAAATAATATAGTCTTGTCACCACTTGTTTTATAGAACTTTTGATGTAGTTTTTAAATATATAAATTTTATTTTTTAATTTTACACCTACAATCAAATAAATTGAATTAAAAATAAAGTCGGTCAAACTTCGTAAACAGAACTGGAAAGAACACTATAAGAAGGAGGGATGGAGTATTCACTATCTGCCACTGTCCAAATATACCACCGCTGTCTCACACCATGATCCCATCCCGTGTCTCCCCACCTACCCGCCCAAGTCCCAACCCTACCCCCACTCCTCCATCAACCCCCATCCTACCGTACTACCTGGAAAATATTCTTCTAAAATTATACTAGCTCTGTCCACCATAAACATTCTCAGACACTATTCATATGGTCAAACTTTACTCACTTTGTTTGCTCATTTTTACTAGTTATTTCGTAAAATAATATAGTCTTGTCACCTCTAGTTTTGTAGAACTTTTCATGTAGTTTATTACTATAAAAATTTTATTTTAAAATTTAACTCTTATAATCAATTAAATTGAATTAAAAATAAAATTAATCAAGCTTCATAACACGTAATGGGAAGATCTTAGGTGGAGGGAGGGAGTATATTTTTTTTCCTCTAATCAAACACACTCTAATAATCTTCCATTTTGGATCAGATTTAAAAAAGAAAAAAAAATCTTACATTTTCGATGGGCTTTGCTGCGGACCCATTAAGGGGCGAGGCCCGAGAGGCAATGGATCGATAGCCCAAATGATAATAATAGACTGAGAATTTCTTAAATGCACAGCGCTCCTTTTCGGAGTCTTTCTCTGCGTCTCCTTTCTTTCTGGGGAGCTTCCTTCTTCCCAGACTCCCCTTTTCCCCTGCAATTTTCCAATCTTTGAATGTTTATTATAGATCTTGTATCTCTGAATAGAGTGGCTTATTGGAATCCTTCGTTGAGCTTTTCTGATTATCTCTTATGGCGATACGGTTCACAGTCGCGTACTATGGCTATGTTGCTCAAAACCTTGCTTCCTCCGCCTCCTCGAAGTTGGCCGGATGCCGGTTTCTCCACGAGTTCTGCTCTGGCGGTTCTCAGTTGTTTCAGACCCCCGATTCTACAGACTCTCGCAGCTTCCTGCGGCCCAATCGCGGGGGAAATCCCGTCAGCGACTTCACCTCGCAGATTCCGTCTCGTTTCTTCTCTTCTTCAACTTCGGCCCTCTCTACGCTTGCTTCCGACGCTCTTGGCGGGAGATTGGAGTCCCCGCTGGTTTCTGGTTTGATTTCTCTGATCAATTCGTCTTCCTCCTCTGTTGTCCCGGCTGCTGCCTGTGCGTCTGGAATCTCTCCGTTAAGACGCGCGTCAATTGTTCCATTCCTCCATGGCTCGAAGTGGCTTCCCTGCAATGAAGTGGGGTCTCAGCTGGGCAATGGAGGCGCCCTTACCGAGAAGAAGAAAGATTTGAGTTTATCAGATGCTATTGCAGACAGTTCCAAGGGGACATGGCTGTCCAAGATTACTAGTATTAGCTCAGATGATGCAAAAGCGGCCTTCACGGCTTTCAGCATCCGGTTGCTCTTTAAGTCTCCTTTGGCAGAACCAAGGTCTATTCCTTCAACATCCATGTACCCTACTTTGGATGTGGGTGATAGAATTATGGCAGAGAAGGTATAACTTGCCCATTCTCTTTCTACTTCTTTAAAATGAGTTGTTTCTGTATTTGAAGTAAGACAACACTTGGCATTGTAACAACATATGGATGAAGATAGTGTTAGGAGAAGATCACGTTTGTTACGACTTACGAGTCAGACTTAACACCAGTTATTGTTTCTTTCATAATAGTGTGTATATAAAGCATAAACCATAAACATGTATATCATCATGAAGGAACCTGCATAGCCCTGCTCTAGTATTAGACATGTCTCTTTCTAAATTCATAATGCAGCACCTTTTCATTATGTCTGTTTCACTGAATTTGAAAAGAAAAAGAAAAGAAAATGAGTGAGAAAATAACTTTTCATGTTTGGTTAGAGAGAAAGAAAAGAAAAGTAGAAGAAAGAGGGAAATGAGATTGCAAAAAATGTATCAAGGGAAGAGAAACCCAATTCCTCCTATTTTGGTGAGGAAATAAGAGACTCATTTTCTTTTCTTTTTCTTCCAAATTCTTTGAACCAAACATAGTGTTTATGTTCTTGTATTCACATTTCATCAGGTGTCATATATATTTAGAAAGCCCATGATTTCTGAAATTGTGATTTTTAAAGCTCCTCCCGTTCTCCAGGTATGCTAACAAAATTATCTAAATACATCTTAATATAGCTTTAGAATTTGCGTTTGTTTCTCCTTCAATAATCTGATTTGGGAAGTGTTATGCAGGCTATCGGTTTTAGTTCTGGAGATGTATTCATAAAAAGAGTTGTGGCAACAGCTGGTGATTACGTGGAAGTTAGTACACAGAGAGTATCCATAATTAAATAGTAGTGTTAATTATCTTGCTCTTTCTCTCTTATGTTAATGATGTGGTGTTACACTTTCTCAGGTGCGGGACGGTAAACTGTATGTAAATGACATTCCTGAAGATGAGGAGTTCATATTGGAGCCTCTTGGTTATGAAATGGATAGACTGGTACTACAATTTGATTTATGCATAAGTGTTGTTTGATAAAGAGCGGCCCCTTTTGACTTTGTCAAATAAGAATCAGCTCTCTGTTCATGTGATACATCTAAATCTAATATATGGTAATTCACCTATCAATTTTACTAACACTATGTTTGGTTTGTGGAATTTGAAAGGAAAAGAAAAGAAAGAGGTTTTCTCTACTTTTCTTCACTAAAACAGAAGGAAAATCATTTTCCTTCTTAGTTCATTTTTTCCTCCCATTTTCTTTTTCTTCTACTTTTCTTTTTCCTCTCTAACCAAACAAGAAAGTTTTCTCTTTTTCTTTTCTTTTCCCTTTCAAAATCCTTGAACCAAACATAGTGTAAAGAAACAGAAAAGAACCCGTTTTCAAAACAGAGTACAAGTTGGGAAGCTTTTAGGGATAATCGTCTTGTAAAGCTTCTTAGTTCACATTTTATTTATACATTAGAACAGCAAAAAAACTGCAAGCAATTGCTATTAACAAATATCTCTTCATACACAACTAATGTAGAAATGTGTATAAACAGATTGTGTAAACATGGCCAACAACTCCTTGACAAACATAGACAATCTAAATGGGTAACACATATATCAAACGTTTAAATGGCAAACATGGCCATCAATCAACTCTTTTACCGTAGTAGCACTGTAGTTATTAGTGGAGAAGATCAAACATCTGTTTGTTGTTTATGTGTATAGCTTGTTCCTGATGGATATGTCTTTGTGATGGGGGACAACCGTAATAACAGCTTTGACTCCCACAACTGGTAGCGTGTTTCTCTTCGCCCATTTCAACTCTACAAAATATATTAATTGTATTATTATGAAGGTTCAAAAACCCATAACTAACATCATTTCCGTCCAGGGGCCCACTCCCTATTAAAAACATTGTGGGTCGATCAATTTTCAGATACTGGCCTCCCTCGAGAGCATCCGACACTCTGGACAGCCCACGATTGGAGATGAAAGCCCTTCCCGATTCTTGACTGACAATTTGTGAATACCGAGGTCTTCTTCTGTTGTTTAGTTTTTTTAGTAGTGTTTTCTTTTGTGGAGTCGTGACAATAGAGCCAACTATTGATGGCGTCCAAATCGGTTGGTAAGCTTTTGAATTTGCTGGGTAGCACAAGCGGCACGGAAAACATGTCTGCCTTCGGACAAGAGTATATCAAATTGTTGGTTTAGTTAGGCCGATGTTCTTGCAAATAAATTGTGACAAGTGTATTCATCATCATATATTGAGTGTATTTTTTATATCAAATGATGTTTTGAAGATTGAATATGAAGAAGCAGATTGGTGTGATCCCTCACAAGGTTCATAACAGGTTCAACTACAACATTGGTTATGTTGCATATTCATCTCTGCAGTTTGAACAACAATTTTAATTTGCCAGTGTTGCTGCCATTTGCAGAGCATTTTAAATCATTCTTTTCTCATACCCATCCATTGTAAATAATAAAGTTCTTGTTTTACTTCTCAGTCTTTTCAAAAGTAATTTTTCTTTTTTTCACTTGAAGTCGTTGACAAAGCAATTACTCATTTAACACCATTTTGAATGACATATTTTTTAGCGTCTATAGAGCTAAGAATAACGCAGGAAGAGATGAGTCTATTCCATTTCTTTCTGTTGTTATCCGGGTGAAGCAGATTTGTCAGCTAAGTTTTGAAGAAATGACAAGATATGAGTTATGAAATGTAAGAGCAATGATATGAGTTTTGAAATCTCAAATGAATTTGTTTGGAGAGATTTAGAATAATAATTTAATTAGTGATAAGTGTGGATGGCCAACAATAGAAGTAGTTGGTGGTGACAATGGTAGCTTGTGATAGAGAATAATCAATGGTTGAGAGAATTATCAAATTCCTATATTGATATCAAAACCATCTACTCGAAGAATTTATGATATGTTGAGATATCGAATTCGATATCTTTTTTTTTTGCTTCACCGAACATCCAAATTACACTTCCATCCTTCCACTTCGGAGATTAGTTTTTTCTACAAATTTGATATTTAATTATAGGACAAAATGTATTGAGACAATTTTTTTTAACCCACGAAAAAAGTATTCTTGGGACTAAGCTAGTTGAATAAATTTAATACAATTTGACCATACTTAAAAATTACCGAGTACTATTTTTGTCTAAGATAAATTGTCTAATTTGATATCTTTGAATCAAATTGAATAAATTTTAATTATCATTTAAATAAAATTATATTGGATATTAGTACAAAAGCGATAATAAGATTTATCTTGTGCAAAACAATTAGAAATTTATTATATTGTACTAATATGCAATGCAAATTTAACTTTATTTATGATTAGTGTTTATTTTATATGAGTTGATTTAACATTTTGTACCCGTATGAATCGTTAAAATACTCATGCATCTATTTAGAGTGCAATTAGAGATGCACTTCTTGGTACTCCGTATATTGCTAGGTCAAGGATAATACTTCCTCCGTCGCCAATTTGATTACAAATTACGGGTTACAGAGTAAAATTTTCTACTTTTTAAAATCATTTTATTTATAAATTGGTATATCAATAAGATATTAAAATTATATATTAAAAACTACGTCAAAGGTTCTACAAAATAAGAGGTGACAATAATTTATTTTATCAAATACTTAATAAAATTACGTAAACAAACAAAAATTATCGATAGGAGAAAAAAAATTGCAATGGGACGGATGTAATAGGAATATAAGATATCCCATTTTATTAGATCTGAGACCCAACTAGGAACGCTGGCCCCCGCAAAAGCTTGCACCGGTTTTCATGGTCGACGGCCGTCGGGGATCGTCGCAAGAACAGAAAACCACGATGCTCCGCAGATCATCCAACCTCTATATCTTCCTCTTCCTTCACTACCAAACTCTAAACCTAACGCTAACTTCCTGCGCCATCTCTTCTACGCCACCGCCGCTCAACGTTTCCCACTATCTCTACCCCAGATCCACCTTCGTCCTATTCTCTCAACCTCCGGCTTCTACTTCTAAGCCTTCTCTCTTCTTAAAGGTCTCCTCTTTAGTAATCTTTCATATTGTTCTACTCTGGCGAATTTCAAATCGTTGATCGTGTATATTGATGTTATTTTCTTGTGGGTGTGCAGGCTATATTGGAATCGATTGCGAAGAGGGAGGGATGGGACTTGGAGGGCCTCAGGGTTTCGAAACTGAATGCTAAGAGAGCCATGTATGGCAGTGTGAGGAATAAAGAGTTTGGGGCTAGGTTGGGGAAGACTGAAATCGTCTTCAAGGTGTTCGATCAAGTGCCCAAGTGGACCAAGTTTGAGTCTTTGGGGAAGAGGAATTGGTCTGATTTTGAGTGTCTGGTTAAAGAGGCTGGATCCAATGCGGTTCTTGATGGATTTAAGATTGAAGGTCCCTTGGAATTGTATGCTGCTGGAGATGATGATAATTTCACACTTAATTTGCCGGTACGATGAACTTCTTTACTTAATACACTCCGTATGTAATTACATTATTTCTTTGGATTCAAGATTGAAGGTCCCTTGGAATTGTATGGGCATATTCTGATTAACTGAAAACTGATCTAGGAAATGGCCATTGAATGAACTAAGATAGTGTTTGGAACTATGAATTCATTTGGATTTTTGGAAATTTTAATTCTTGGATTTCAAATTACAAGGGTCAGGGGGGAGGGTAACAACAACAATATTACCTCAGTGCCTCAAAGTTTAAGGGGCCTTTTTGCCCAGTGCCCCATTGCCCATTGTAGGTTGGGGGGAGGGGTGGTCGGATGCATGCACTCTCGCCCCTATGTTTAAAACATAGAGTGGCTGTTTCTAGATGACCCAGAATGAGTGTCAAAAGTTGAATTGACTAACTACTACTTCACTATTGAATGAAGCGCGATGTTTAAGAAGCCTTTTTGCTTTATTTCATCATGCCCCAAAGCCAAAAAAAATAGTGAATCTTCGGTTCCATCGGAGATGATGGAAAATAAGGGGGAGTGTATGGATTTGTAGTTTAGCTTTGTTGGAGATTAGAGGAATTCGGACCAAATCCAAATCCAAATTTCGATTTGAAATCCAAGTATTAAGTTCCGAAACAGGCATAAACGATTTCTGAAGAACTATGTGTGCAGCACATTAGTCTATTATTAAATGGGATTCATTTTGCTCTATTTTTTGTTCATACATATGTTTGACCTGGATGATAGAATGGCATTCATTTGCTTTTATGGCACGTTTTCTAATGTCTTGAACATATTAACCAGTCAAACACTTCAGTTCCTGGCTTGAAACAAATACTTGTAAGTGAAGGCATGACATTAGAAGTGGAAGGTGCTGAAGAAATAACTGTGTTCCATACTCCGGCTCCAAACGGCCCACCATATGGGAATGCTTTCACTGATTTGAGGAGCAAGTTACACTCGTGTTTATCGTCACTCCCTATCCATGTTAGAGGGCCTGCATTTGTAACTGTCTACAGGACTCATAACCCCAATTCAACTATAGAAACCAATTTTTTATCTGGAGACACGATTGAGTTGCTTCCAGACAAGTGTTATACAGGAAATGTGCACAGAAAACAGAGTTCTGTGTTTGATTCTCTTAGCCGGGGTGCAACATTACTGGAAAAGGCTGTGAAGAGCTTTTTTGGTGGTAGAAACGACAGAAAAACAGGGTTTGGCCTGAAAATCAGAATCAAACCGTCCATTGTTGTTCGGTTCCAGATGGAATTGGAGAGAAATATCACCGGTAATGACACTCAGTGGAGTACGTTAGGTGAGTGGAGGACAAGGCCGAACGCTGAACGTGTTTGGTTCGAGGTGGTGGCTGGAATCAGGGAAGGGTGGTTATTGAAGCCACTAACAGTGAGGAAATTCCGGCCTTATGCCGAAGTAGATTCGCTGTCATGGAGCAGTTTGATGTCAAATCTTTCCTTCACAAAGTTTCCGTCTGTCATTGTTCCTCCAGAGCATCTGACACTGGATGTCAAGTGGTGAAAAAAAAGGTTAGAATACTTTCCTTTTTTGGATTCCCCACATTGTAGAAGTTTCACATAGTTTACTTTCCCCTGTGAAATGCTGCAAAAGTTGACTTGTACAAATATAGACTCTTGTAAATGGAGTAAGAAATAGCAAGACGCATCTTTTCTTTTTAGCTATGGAAAAGTGTATTAGACTTGCAGTTGATTAAAGATGTCACTTTTAGCCTTTTAAACACTAATTACTTAGAATTAATGTACCACTGCTAAAAATGCAGAACGGGTTTCGTATTTTGTTCCATCTGACACAGATAAAGAAATGTGGTGACCATATCTGGAAAAGACCAAGCTCATGTCCGAAACAAAAAACAAAACAAAAAATCAAAAACATGAACAAAAAGAAAAAAAGGGGGGAGAGAATGAAACTAAGGAGTTAAATTAAACCTTGCCTTGCGGATCGATTAAAGGCAGCTGCTAGGGATTGATTAAAAGATTGATTTCAGAAGCTAAATGACGGGGATCAAATTAAGCTAAGGGGCATGCTAGGGTACACCAAAATGAGGTACCCAATTTGTACACTAGACAAACAAAGATGTCTGTGATCGTTTATTCTAAGCTAAGGCTTTCTTGCTACCCCTGAGGATCGTCTTGAATCACGGTGGAGATGGATGGGCGGCTGTCCACTACAGCGGGCTGCCGTGCCGGTCCATAATTTTTTTTTTTGCTCCTTGGCTTCTTTTTCTTCTTTTTTGGATCTTCATGGCCATGGATGAATTTGAAGAAAGCTTTTATTCTTTGGGAGGGTGGGAGAGATGGCGGAGAAGCTGAAGTTATCGAGGCTATGCTGAAGGAAGCTGTGAATTTGGTAATGGATATGGGTTGCTCGGAGTGGGACGGTCAATTTAGGCGAGTATTGGGTAGAAATTGGATAGTTAATTTTAATTTAAACTGTAAATATTTTTATTAATAAATATTTTTATTTAATTTATTTAAAAAATAAATAAAAAATGAAGAATAATGTAAAAGAAACGGAAAGGCGGGGCAAGGGGGCAATAGCATATAACTTTGTGTAAAGATAATAAAATTATATATTTAAAAGTTACATCAAAAGTTCAACAAAATAAAATGTGAAAAGTGTGTTTTTAATCAAATGATCAATGAAAGCTTACAAAAAACGAAAATTATTGAGATGTAATAATACTAAAGAAGTAAATCTTTATGGGACGAAGGGACATAATTCGGAATGTTAAGATTGTTAGTATAAAACTTTTTGAGTTTTGCATTTTTAGCCAAAATGTTCGGTACTTCCTACGTTTAGAAGCATTTGTTCACTTTTGACTTTTTTGAGTCAAAAGTGATCATCTTTGCCCTTGATCCAAAAAGAACTTTATGAAAATGATCTTGTAAACTAATTTTGAAATATTATTTTATCTAAGTAATATATCATTTAATTATAGATCAAATGTCAATTTTTATTGACTACAAACTATAAAAAAGACATTAAAATGTGATTTAAATTTACTATTGAGAAAATAAATAGATTTAAATAAAATAAATTTCATAATTGCTTCTTTATAACATGTGAATTTCCATGTTTAGTCCATTATTATCAAATATTACTTCGTAGTCTTTCTTTTACGTGTGTCTTTTCACAAATGATTCTTTTTTTAATCTTCTATCATGTTCTTTTTAATTCAAAGGCTAAAGTCTAAAAGTATAATTCGTTATCAAGCTTATGTTCAACAAAAATACTTCGTATATAATTTATATATTACGTCTATTCTTTCACATTATAGAGTCTACTACAATGCAGTATATATCTCCATATTTTCTTAATCTAATAACGCATAATGACCTAATGTGCTATCATGCATCTACATTGTCCGTTTAGAATCGAATCTGGATGAGCTTTTACACGAATATTGAATTGTAAACTTTTTGCCACTTAAGTCAATGAACAATCTTTATTACTGTGTCTTAGTTAAGTATGAATTTTTAGTTTAATTGTACTACGTGTAAAAATTAGGTTTACCAATTTTTTTAGGGAACCGAGTTTAGTTACATGTGTTCTGATTAGTTTTATTTTTTGCTTTGATTAGTTTTATTCAATACTCCGTAACATAAATGTTCTAAGTTTTATTCAAATCTTTTTTTACTGTATGTGAAAGAGTAAGATTCTAAATTTTAAAATTGGTAATACTTCGTATGGTAAACTTGGCAATCAAGTCCAAAGTCCAAAGAGAGATTATTAAGCTAGCTAAAGGATAAAGGCAGTGATCATTATTAATTTATTACTTCATTCTTCTCTAAATGATTTACACACTTTACTACGAGTATTAAAATTTGCGTGAACTTTTGTTTATTTGTGTACTTTCATTAACTATTTGATGAGATGAAACAAACTTATCACTTCTTCTTTTGTAGAACTTTTGATGTATTTTATAAATATATACTCCCTCCGTCCTGAATTAAAGTTTCTAGTTTGACTATTCTCCATTTTTAATAGGAGTTGACTAATGGCCTGCATTGCCCAAAACACCCTGCTCTTCTTAAGCTGGTTTTTCATCTCAGCACCAAAGCCACCCCAACTGCCCCCACCACCCCAACCGCCCCACCACCCCCGACGTCGCCCAT